ATTGATTCACATTTATATTAATCCATGGATGACTCCATTTTCCCCTTCTTGATAGAACATTATATATGTTCCCCAGGGAAAAACAAAGCAGAAACTGGGTTTTCAAAAAGTGAAAAAATAAGCCCATACTGAAGATAAAGGTTGGACTGCAAATGTACCCTGAGAATTAACCAAACTGGAAGTAAAAGCTTGAAAAATGGAAGCTCTGCTAGAGGATTTAAGTTTTAAAATAGGAAGAGGCAGCTGTCTTCTGCTACAAATGAAGATAATTAGCATGAGGTTGAGAGGATACTGAGTAGGTAGCTCCTGTCATCAATGGCTAAGGAACCTCACTAAGATGTACATTCAGGACATCCCTGAAGAGTGACATCAACTAAAAACATTGTCTAGTAAATATGTGTCATTAATTAAATAAATTGAGGCAAAGAAACTGGATACCCTGAAACTGATGGGCTAAGTCAGACAAATTCCTGTGTCATCCTACATCACACATATATGAAAAGAATTAGTTTGTGTGCCCTCTTATTTTTGTTTGAGATTTTTTCTCCCAGGACACTAGCTGTCCACTGTCTCTTCCCTGCCTCCAAATGCCATGCCTACTGAATCTGTACCTCCTCACGGAACCTCCCATACCCTTGTTGAGCAAGCACTGGTCCACATCCCTGCTGTTCCCTTGGTCACAACTGGTAGGAGTGGGACACACAGAGCTAATAACTCTCTCCAGATACAGACTCCAGTCAGTAATGAAGTACTGATCCACTAATGTTACAACTTAGGGGTGTCCACTGGCAAGCAAAACTACATAGAAATATCAGAAAATGAAAGGGATCTACAAGAAGCAGAGACTACGAGGTATGCCTGTTGGAGTATAAAAGAGAACAGAGAAAGTGGTTTTCATGATTGCTGACTTTCTAATTCTCAGTTCTAATCTCTTATGAGACCATTGAACTATTGACCTTTAGGTACTAAAATATAACCTCTCAGGCTAGTTCATTTAAGGCTCTGTTTCCTCCAATCAATCAATACATGGCTAGAATAGCTACAAAAGTCCATTTGCAATATTCCCGGTTTTTCTCATCTAAATAGATTTGTCCACAGTTTTGAAAGGTCAGAGTCTAAAAGTGGTAGAGATTAAGAGCAGCACTGATTGATTCTGTACATATGTCAAAAAGAAAAACATAAGACAAAACCTTCTGTCCTTTCCCAGGACATTACTACTCAGTGAGTTCTGCAAGAGATTCAAGTATTCTGAAGACAAAGATCATGGTTTAGTAACCGAACTTTGAGAAGCATTGCTGTAAAGCCTACTTTAACATTACTACAAAGATCTGTACAGTTATAACTTCTCCAAAATAATTATATTCATCAAACATCTGTATTCAAAAGTAGCAAATTGCTCTTAGAAAGATAGATTTGTTTGAAACCCTATTAAGAGCAAGTATTGTTTTTGTTATTCTCTCTGCATATATATTTGTGTTTCATTTCACATTAAATGGGATTTTGTAAAACAGCTTGGAGGGCCAAAATACAATTTATGTTGTTGTTTCCATCTGAAAATGAATTTAAACTCCCAAAGAACTAATTTGCAGACTTTTGAAACATATCCAGTTTGTAATTTGAGGATTTCATGTGCCATTCCAACGGAGAAAATTTGATTATGGATGGTTTTAGATGGTACCACGGCATTGTTGTTATTTTTGTTAGGGAATAATGGCATTTGGGTCTTATTTTTTTAATTCATTTTTTCAAAGATGTTTATAAAACTAGGTAGAGTTCCAATGACAAGATATCCATGATTTCCTCTAAAACATTTCAACAAAGAAAATGAAAACTTACAAAAGGAATATATAAAATAAATGGTGCAAAATCTTGATAATTGCTGAGTCTGCAAAACTGAGAATGTGGCAGATTTTGTTTCTATTTCTGTGCATATTAAAAAAAAAGGAGTATATGAAAACTCAATTAATGTAGCAGTCACCCAAGATTCCTTTTAGAGCACACATACAGGCTCAGCACAGACAAACCAGAATAATTACTGACATCACAAAGAAATGACATAACAGGCCTTTTAAATTGGGGACAGAGATTCATTTATCTTTTGAAAGTCCCTGACAGACAAAAGGAAATAAATTAAAGTCAGAGCACATGGAAAACTAATTCCTTAATTATTTGGAAGACATTGTTTTTCCAGACTATACAAAAAAGTCTTAACTCACTACAAAGTAGTCCAGAAACAGTGTGTGAGAAGCAGAGCACACAGAGACATGATACTCTTTTTGATCTCCCTCATTTCTACTGCAGAAGGATGGGCAAACCAATTCCAGTTTTGCATGTTCATTTTTCAATCTTAAAAGGTAAGTGGCACTTCCTACTGTTCTCACAATATAATATCCAGTGGATCATAAACTATACATAAAAGCCAGTTATTAATGACACTCATAAGTATTTCTTGATATGTCCAAGAACTTGATAGATTATTCACATCAATCTTAGGGATGGGAAAGCTAAAGAAAAAAAAACACAAAGAGATAGTTGCATTTCAAGAAGTGGGTGTGGGGGGGGGGGGGAATAGAGAAATTCCAGGTCCTTAGACAAATATTAACAAATAGCATGTGTTATTCCTCGTATTCTTGTATTATAAGTAGAGTTGTAGCTAATAATGCTGATGTATGCTTATTGCTATTACAACTCTTATGGCCCAAATTTTGTTTTCTTAAAAGATTTCAGTCAAACCCTCAAGAAATGCAGATTTCAGGTTGAAGTTATGCCACTATTAGGTACCTAGCACTTCTTAGACTCAATTTACACATCTGTAAAAGAAGGGCATTAGACTAAATGAGCTTGAAACTCCCTCCCAACTCAAATATTCCAGAACACCCTGTTTCACAAAGCTTAATCTTTCACATGTTCAGAGACTTTATTCTGAATCAGTTATACTATATAGTCCCAGAAAGCAATTAACTAAACTTACTGCACAAACTGTGTCCAAGCATTAAAATGACCCAGGGACTGAAAAGCTTGAGACAAGAGGGCTAAAGATCTCTTACTCCTTACTTTTCTTCAAGTAATAGGTGTTTAGAGTCCATTACTAAAGCATGATTTCCTAGCAAATTTCAATCAGAAATTAGAAAAAAAATAGTTTAAAAATAACTTTTCTCATGCATGTATATAAAGGAAGGTACACTCTAAATCTGCACTATTGGTAAACATAAAGATATAGGTTGAGCATTATATGTGACCAGCACTATAAAAAGAGGGAGAAAGAATAAAGAATATAGATTCTGTGATTCTAGCTCTAGTTTTAAAATAATAATACTGAAAGTCTACAATATTGTATTCCTTGGGGCATTTTATTTGCAAAAAGAGATAAAACATATCCTATTTGTGGCTTCAATGTACTTTACTACTTATGGTCATATAGTCTGTTCCATAAAATGATTTTTTGACTTTGGTTTTGAAAGACGAAATTAAATTTAATATTTCTAGTCTGGGTTCTCTTAAACTTTCTGGTCACTTATTTGTAAATAGCAAGTAACAATCTTCCACTTTCCCTATTGGGAGAAAAGAATTTTTAAAATGACTGGGATGGTTAAAAAAAATCAAAAACAATATAAAGAAAAGTCATCTTCTCCTAAATGATTTCCATCATAAGTGATATTTGATAGAATAATACAATTACATACAATCCCTTACATCATCCCAACTAAAAGCTAGAGATAACTGGGCCAGGAACACCATCTTGTAAAAAAGATATGTGTGTCACAACAATACTGAGCTTGGGAAATTACTGATAGACTCATGTGTTCTCAAAACCTCCCTCATTCCAAAGAACTGAGCATGTACAAAAGAATAAAAACAAAAGCGACAAGTTCTAAATGCAAAGTCTAGGTGGGGGCAAAAGGAAATATCAAAGAAAGAAAAGGAACCTTTCTTTTCTGCAACCTGGGGACACTCTTCACAGAAACCCAGCCTTGAGCCTAGGGAGAGACTGGCAAGAAGGGATCCTGTAAGGTGGAATATCCTTCTAGGATCAGTCACTAGAAGTCAAGCCAGGACCCTGTGCTCCTACGTGCACATGCAGTGATCTTTCTCCAACAAGACAGAAGAAGCCTACTGGAGCCAATAACAGCCTAGCATCTTTTTCTTATTTTCCATTTTGCTAAACCTGACCTACAAAAACACTGTTCCCTAAATCCCCCTCTAGTCATGACTATCCACACTCAGGGTACATCCTCTTTGTTTTGCTGGTTCAAAACTTGGAGGCAGTATTTGACAAGAGATGAATTATTACAAAGGCACTGATTTTTTTTTTCTCAAAATATATAATGATTAACATCTCTTGGTTGCTTGGTCATTATTATCTAATTTGCATGAGTCTGTCTCATGAGAAATTTGAAAAGAAAGAAAATCATAAAAATAAATTCTATCTTCTAGTCATCACTTACATGTCATATGCACTCTGCAGCCAGAGCCTTCAAACTCTGGAATTCACTGAAAGGAAGAGGACAGGTTGAATCCTAAATTCAAATTACCTTTTGCCAGATTCATTACATCACTTTCCTTTAGTAAATAATAAGGTTGTCAAGGTGGGGGTTTAAAATGAATATGAAAGAAAGCATTATAAGAGATCAGCCAATCCCCTTTTCACTATCCTTTCCCACCCCCTTCCAATTCCTGACTTAAAATCAATGATCTATTATCACTCATAACTCTCCTTCCTTTCCAGTGAATGAAATCAGCTTCTAGACACTGCACTTCATATATATTATCTCTTTTAACCTATCTCAAGACTCTGTGAAGGAACTTTTAACACTCCCATTATACAGCTGAGAAAACTAAGGCCCTAAGAGGAAAGCAAGCCCAAAGGACTACGTCAGTCAATTGAGTTATTTAGCTTAGGTCACACTAATTCTTTAATATTGTATAATACTGAAAATCTTAAAACTGTATTGATTCAGAACTCCTAAAATACTTGAATTTGAAAATTTAGAAATGCATACCTGTTTTTTCCTTGAATTCCCTTTGGATAACAGGCCCGATGACAACACAGATGTAAATGGAGAACAGCACAGCTCAGGAAAAGGGTTTGGAATAGATGGCATTTCCAGAACATCAAGATCTTTCTTTTTTCTCCTACACCGAGAGAACATAGGATGTAATTTACATAAAGCAGAATGTAAAATATAATTGCTGTCAGGATTAAAAAGTGTTGTTAAGGCCAACATGTACCACTCTATGACAATGCTAATAATATATCAAGTGTACTGGAAAGGTCTGTGACATATTTTCTGGATATCAAAATAAAGTGTTAATTGATACAAATAAATCTACAATAGTCCTACTTTTTTTTTTTTGCCTTTAAAAAAAATCACAAGACATGGAAACTCCATTTCCTGCACTTTCAATAATCTTCCTGGAGCAACATTATGAACTATATAAATATTAGTGCAAAATTAGCATAAGGAGTTAGACACTGTTAAGCATACATAAAATTGACAACGCATATAAATTACATTTAGTGAATTCATCTCTTTGATATTTTACCAGTCACTTCTGGAAGTTATGATTTATTAATTATAGCTGCAGTTCATGTCTCTTCAAAATTTCATTCACAATGTTGCCCACACACAGTCTGTTGATTTTTCAAATGCTTATAGATACTAAACAGAAAGGCAGTGCTTTTAAAGGGATAAGTTAATAGAACTTGTTAGTATAACAAATCCATTGGAGAGTAATTTTAACTTCACTGAAGTCTGAGCACTTTGAAAACCTGAAGGGGGGAAAAAAAGTACCATTTAAATGTATGAAAATAAAGATTCATAGATTTCCATGCTGTTGTAGTCTTTTTTTATTTTTCCTTCCAAAAGTATGTGCAAACTCTAAAGGCACTTTGTGCTGGATGCAATGGAGATTGAGAAACCTTTTAAAGCCTCTATTCTTTCCTGCTGAACAGTAAAGACTGCTCAAATGTCAATCCATGCTTTGCCTCTCATGGGTCGCTGTAAGATTCTATGTGGGAGGTGAACTCATTAATGCTTTGATTTTTTTTAAAATATATAAAATTAAAAGGACTGTATATTTTGAAGACAATGCTGGGTCACTAGGCAGGAGCAGAGGGTGGACAATCTGGAGTTTGGCCTCCTAGTTCACACCAATGGACAGAGTCGAGAAACACGGAGAGCTCTCAATGAAACGGTGACGCTATTTATAATAAGGCGCTGCAAGATCGCAATGTCCTGCTGATCTGGTAGAAGCAAGCTCAAAGGGAATTGTCTTCAGAGACTTTCACAAACTTGGCCCAGCTCTGAGCACATGGCTCACCCCAGGACCGCCTCCTCACCCCCTTACCGGCTGCCAACCCAGGACACTCCCCCGCGCCCTCGGAGGGGTGCCTACCTGTCCGCAACACAACGGCGGGTCGCGTCCGGAGGGTGCAGGAGCGCTCGCGCGTGGAGCCAGGGGGCTGGCGCCAGGTCGTGGGCGTCGCCCTTCCCCTGGGCAGCGCCGCACACCTGGGCGGCCAGCGGCGAGTCCCGGGCAGCCGCCCTGCCCGCGGCGTTCTGCCCATCTTGCAGGGAAGTGGTCATTGTCGCCAACAGGGGGTCGTGGGCGTCATGGGCAACCCAGCGAGTGGGGAAAAGGGATCCGGCGGTGCGAGGCGAGGTGGCGGCTCCGCAGCTCGAGCGTTCTGCAGGTGCGGTGGCTTCGCCGCCTGCGCTCACGGCCCCAGAGGTTCAGACGCTCGGCCGCGCTGTGTGCGAGGCGGCGGGGGAGGGAAGGGGGCGGAGGAGGAGGGTGGGGAGAGGGGAGGAGCGGCCGGTGCGTGGGGGCCGCGGGCGCCGGGGCGAAGCGAGGAGAAGCAAGGCGCGGAGGGGGCGGGGAGGGCACGCTAGCGTCGGGATCGCCCGGAGCTTGGCCCGGTGCGCTCTGGGGCGCTGGCGCCAGTCCCCAGCCGCCGGCTAAGGGGCCTCGGCTGCTAGTCCCGAGGCCCTGACCGCCGCCTCCCCAGGTGGGCGCCTGAGCTAAGGCTGAGCCCGGGGTCAGAGCGGGCCCAGCGCCGCTGGGAGACCTGGACAGAGTTGAACTGTTGCTGGCACTAGGCTAGACCTGGCGACCGCCTGGCAGAGGTCTGGGCAGCGCTGACCCTTCGACCCTTTCATTCTTTTTGATCAGCGAAGTGGGATCACCTAAGCTGTCACTGGGCCGCCATGACAGGCCCCACCATGCCAGGAGGGGGCTTGGGACCTGGTTTGCCCAGTTCTCTATGCGTCTCTTTCCAGCACTCCACCGCTAAGGGTGGGGGCAGGGTGGGGAGGGGCAGTGAGGGATCAAGGGTGCTATCATTAAAAGAAACAACTGAGGTTTGAGAATTCTCAGCAAAGCAGGAGTAAATGTGTCTGGAATGAGATTATTCATTTTCTTTTTATTTATTCATTTTTATTTTGGGGAACTAAGAATCAAACGGCTGGGAAGGGGGCTTTACCACAGAGCTACATCCTCAGTCCTTTTTTATTTCTTTGTGTATTTATTTTATTTTGGGACAGGGGTGGCTAAGTTGATGAGGATCTCACTAAGTGTTGAGGCTGGCCTGGAACTTTCGATTCAAAGTCACTGTGCCTGGCTTTAATTTTCTTTTAATGATAGCAGCCTTTATTTAATGAAACCCATTCTGCTTTGTCCTATTCCATCCCAGGATATTTATTGTTCATTACATAGATGTTTACCTCATTTTACACATAAGCAATATGAGGTTCAAACACCTTGTGCAAGCATATCATGTCCTGGGAGTACCTTGCGCGAAGTAGTGCTAATAAGTGGTGCAGTCAAGATTCCAATCCAGAAACTTGCTTCCCCCAAACCCAAACTGATTGAAATCTCACCCTGTGAGATGCAGAGCCCTTCATGCAGGTGTCCCCATCCCCTTGCACTCTTGAGGCTTTCCAAATGTTTTACATACTTTGTTCTTTGACCAAATTAGGTAACATCTGTCCCTGGCATCTGTTTCACCAGGTTTTCTTAACTTCCACAACCTCTGCCCAGAGAAAAGTAAACACTGCCTCCTGAAGAAGCCAGAACCCCTTTCCTTAGCCTGAAGCATCCTCCCTGTCCATGGCACCAACCCAACCACTGGTGACACTCAATGGGCCTGAACTTCATGGAGGAAACCTATGGTACTCCATGAAGACAAAACCTTCCAGTCAAATAATTTAAAGAATCCAAGATCTTCATTTTCCTAATATCAAAATTAAGGCCTACAAAAAGGCAGGAGGTACCTAGGTCCATAGAGGTTGTGTTCCCTGGGGTGTTTTATGGAAAGGCCAACAAGACCAAGTGGTGACTCTGCTGAGGGATCAAATGAATACTTTATTATGGTGATAGCTAACACTTATTGGTGATGTGTGTCAGGCAGAACCCTTCCTCATATACAATTCTCTGAATTGTAGTGTGGATTTTATGTATGGATTTTAAATGAGTTTATGTAAAACCCTTCAGATATATTGAGGTTCTTCCAGCACAATCAAAATGAGGTGTGTATTTGCAGATAATCTGAACTAAAGAAACAGAGAAAGCAACCAACTTTATTCATTATCATTATCTTGCTTTTAACCTAAAGTCTTGTTTGGCCATTTCATCTAAGAATGATAGGTTTTGAGTATTGTAGCAGCAGTTAATCAATGGCCAGAGTTTGTTCCCTCCCCACCCACAAGTTCATTCTCTCTCTCTCTCTCTCTCTCTCTCTCTCACACACACACACACACACACACACACACACACACACAGCTCTATTTTTGTTTGTTTGTTCATTACTGTTGTTGAAAAGAATATGTAGAAACCACACATATTTGAAATTACTGGAAACACAATCTTCTAATAGTGTATCCCGTTCCACTTCCAGAATAGTTTCTTACCCTCAAGGCACAGTATTCACTGGTGACAATGATGTATCAATTGTGTCTCCACTCTACACATTCTACTAGTTAGTAAAAATCTGGAAAAGAACAGGAAAAGAACAGGTCTCTGAGCATTGTAGATCAGCATTAAATATTGAATTTACTCTCAATAATACCTTAAGGAGCTGTACCAAGAATTATGAGAATTAGCTCATTCACATTTTTTAAGCAACAACAAAGGAACTAGTTTTCATATCTGAGAGGTTTACATGAAATGAGTCTAAATAAAGGACTAGGCAGTATAAAAGGTACAGAATGTTTTCAGACCTAAACAGGCATCTTTCTATGAAATGAAAGTTAATGAGGAATTATTGTGGATTTTTCTCCCCATAACTAGCAAAGCTTTCTGGAATAATAAAGCAGATATGCTGGTACCAAAGACCAATACCACTCCCCTGGGTAGCTGTTGCCCCTTTGGACTTGAGCCTATAAAACTGCAGAGGAAGCAAATTTGTCTCTTGGCCCTTGTACCATGGGGGATCTTTTCTACCCCTTCTACCTCCTTGACCTGCCCCTCCTCAGGAATCACAGCCATCCTAACCCTCAAGGAAAATGTGTCTTTTTTTCTCTCCCTCTCTTTAGGAAAGATGGCCCATATACAGAGAAGTTCACAAAGGAAAACCCAGGACAACTTCTCACAAGGTCATCATCAGCTGATCATCATCAGCTCTCCAGATTGCCTTCCTCACTTGTCCCTCCTGCCAAGCCATACTTCCACAGTAATCAAATCCTTCTTTTCATTTATGGTTTAGGGTATCCTTCGCTAAACACAATAAATTTGGTTTTATAATTTTGACCTTTGAACAAATGTAATCCTACGCCTGATCCTTTATGTTTGATGTGGTTCCCTTACCACCATGTTTTCGATATTTCACATGCGTCATTTGCAAGTAGTTATACTCCTTTTTTTTCTTCCATACTATATGAATGCCACAATATATTTATATATTCTACAACAGATAAATTTTGGGGCTATTTCCAGGCCTATCGTTTTCCTTTCTTATAACATTCTTATGAAATGTTCATATAGAATATAGTGGCCTCCTGAGAAATGGGGAAGTTTCCCTCTTTTATTTTCTTGAAAATTCTATGTAAGGATGTTAGTATTCCTTCCTTAACAGTTGATCAAGTGTGTTTGTAAAGTCATCTGGCTTTGTAATTTTATCTGCGGAAAGTTTTAACTCAATGTTTTTAATAGCTACAGGACTATTCTCCATTCTTAGTTTTCTACTGTCAATTTTAACAAGTGGCGTTGTCTAGGAACTTATCTACATCTAAATTTTTAAAGGTTTTAGCCGAAAATTATTTGTATTTTCCCTTTAACTGTAATATCTGAAGTACTTATTGTGCTTCTCTCTTCCTTATTACTAACATTGGATATCTATCTATGCTTTCTCTTTTTTTTTCTTTATTGAATTCGGCAGAATTTATTAATTTTTAAGCTTTTCCACTTGTGTTCTATTTTGTTAATTTCTATTCTTATCTTTCCTATTTCTCTTTCTACTTTCTTTAGTTTATTTGCTATTTTCTAATTTTTTACAGGAATTCTTAATTCTCCAGTATGAATGTTGTCCTTCAAGTTTTAATATATTTCATTATTATTCTGTTCAAAATATTTTATTGTTACCATTATGATGGAGATTGTTCCAGCTGTCATTTTTTTGTTTTGTTCTGTTTTTTTTTTTTTAATGTAAAATGTAAAACCTTTTATTACAAAATACACTCTAAATGATTTTGGTCTGTCCCTTAAAATTTGTTGAAAGTTGCTTTATGGCCTGGCTATGGTAACTTTTTTATATTTTGCATATGCTAAAAAGGAGTTTCTGCAGTTGTTTGATTTATTTGTTGTGTAGAGTTCAATTTGGTCAGTTTAATCCATTTGCCCATTTATTAGTTGGTTTATTTGTGTTTCTCCCATTCTGTAGGTCCTCTCATCACTTTCTTTTCTTTTCTTTTTTTTAAATTTTGACACAGGGTCTCACTAAGTTGCTTAAGACCTTACTTAGTTACTGAGACTGGCCTCAAACTTGCAATCCTCCTGCCTCACCCTCCCAAGACCCTGGGATTACAGGCATGCTTCATCACACCTGGCCTCTTTTCACATTCTTAATTGCTTTCTTTGCTGGGCATAAGTTTTTTGATTTGATGCCATCCCATTTATTAGCTCTTGGCATTATTTCCCTGAGCTTTAGGGGTCCTACTGAGAAAGTCATTGTCTGTGTCTATATGCTAGACTTTTGACCCTATATTTTCTTCTACACGTTGCATAATTTCTGGTCTAATTCCTAGGTCTTTGATTCATTTTGAGTTGATTTTTGTGCAGGGTGAGAAAAAAGAGTCTAGTTTCATTCTTCTACATATGGATTACCAGTTTTTCTAGAACCATTTGTTACAAAGCCTGTCTTTTCTCCAATAAGTGTTTTTGGGCACCTTTGTCAAGGATCAGATAACTGTATTTGTGTGGGTTTGTCTCTGTGTCTTCCATTCTGTACCATTGGTCTCTGTGTCTGGTTTTATGCTAGTACCATGCAGTTTGCTATGCTGTTTATGTTCTCCACTTTCGTACTGATTTTTTGTTAGTTCTATCATTTTCTGAGAAATTTCATATTAACATTTCTTACTGTTTAATTATTATTTATTTATTTTTGCTCATTTTGAATTTTGAGGTTATATTGGGGGGATAAATTTTAGTATGTTATTTTTCTTATTTACAATTTACAAGTCATCTTGGCAAGTTAAGACATTTAATATTTTGAAGTATCCTCCTTCATCTCTACTGTTTTTCCTTTGAGTATTTACCTGATATTAATACAGTTTGGCTGGTGTTTTATGTACGTCTTTACCCATACTTTTCACTATTGATATTTTCATATCTCTGTTTTAGAGAAACTTGTCTCTTGTAAGTGACATCTGATAAAGGCTATTTGTTTATTTGTTTTGTATCCAATTATAATCATTGCTTTTAATGAAGGCTCTTAAACATTTTCAGTTAAAAATGCTCTGTCATTAAGTGCTATCTCCAACTAGTGCTTTGTTCCTGTTCCCCTTATTTCTTATATTCTTATATTGGATTATCATATTACTCCATTTCTCTCCCTTGAATCATCCAGTTGTTTCATCAAATTTCTTTCCCATCCCTCTTACCCTACCTTGAGCCCCAGGAAGATATCCTTTATGGGTAACAGCAAGCACTCCCTTACTTTCTGACTTGTGGTTTGGTTTGTTAAATGGAATGGACCAGCAAGAAACTGAAGAGTGGGAAGAATATGGAGTTAGGAAATTTATTCTCTTTTCCTCCTCCTTTTCAGGTTACATGTTTCCTCTCCAGCAACGCATCCACAGCACATAAAGGTGTGGTCTAATCCTCTTTGTGCAACCCTACAGAATTGAGGTGCAGGGAACTGTACCAAGGCTAATATGGGGTTACTGTCAGTGCTATGAGTGATTGCAGAATAATGTTTTATTGCACATATATAATTTTTTTAATCCATTCACCAGTTGGACATTTGGATTGTTTTTACTCTTTGGCTTTGTGAATAATGCCACAATGAACATTTGTGTACCAATTTTTGTGTGGACATATGTTTTCATTTTTCTTTGACTTTCAGGGTCATGTGGTAACTCTGTGTTTAATCCTTTGAAGAACTGCCAGAATGTTTTCCAAAGTGTCAGCACCACTTTAATCTCCCACCACCAATGTATGAGGATTTCAATTTCTCCACATCCTAACATTATCATTGGTCTCTTTGACCAACGGTTATAAACCATTCCAGTTGGTCCAAAGAGGTATTCCATTGTGTTTTTCATTTGTTTACTTTTGTGATGGGATCTCCCTATGTTGCCAAGGCTGGCCTTATACCCTCAATGCTCCTGACTCAGGCACCAAGTATCTGAGACTATAAGCATATAACCACATACCTATCTCCCACTATTATTTTGATTTGCAGTTCCCAGGTGGCTAATAAGTTGAGCATCTTTTCATGTGCCTTTTGGATATTTGTTTATTTTCTTTGGAGAAATGTCCACTCAGATCCCTTGCCCATTTTTAATTAAGACATTTCTTTTTAATAATGACTTTAATTATACTTAATATATTCTAGATACAAATTCCTGAACAGATTTCTGATTTGGAAATATTTTCACCCACTTTTGAAGTTGTCTTTTCACTTCCTTGATAATATCTTTGAATCATAAAAGTTGTAATTTTCATGAAATATTTTTCTTTTAACAATTGTAATTTTGTGTCCTATCTAAGAAGATGTTTCCTACGCCAAGGTCACAAAGATTTACTCCTGTGTTTTTTTGTTAAGAGTTTTATAGTTTTAGCCCTTGTCTTCTGGGTTAATATTTATATATTACAAGACATGAAGGAAGAGTCCAACTACATTATTTTGAATGTGTTCACCTAGTGGTCCCAGCATCATTTATTGAAGACACTATTTTTCTCTTTCAATTTCTTCAGGCCCTTGTCAAAAATCAATTCACTATAAATACAAAGTTTTATTTCTTTACTCTCAACTCTGGAACATCAGTCTTTATTCTTTTTCCATTCCACATTATTTTTATTTTTATAGATTTGTAGTAAATTTTGAAATTAGGAATTGTGAGTCCTCCAACTTATATATATATATATTTTAAAGATTATTTAAGCTATTCTGGGTCCCCTGAATTCCTCATCAGTTTTTCAGGTCTGCTGGTCAGTTAATGCAAAGGAGTCAGCTGGGATTTTGAAAAGGATTCCTTTATCTGTGTTTCAAATCCTAGAGTATTTTCCTCTTAATAATATTAATTAAGTCTTCAAGTTCTTGAACACAGGGTATCTTTCCATTTGGTAGGTCTTCTTAGATGCTTTCAACAATGTTTTGTAGTCTTCAAATGATAAATATTGTACTATTTTTTTAAACTTATCAGTATTTGGGGGGTTTTGATGTAATGATAAATGAAATTTGCTTTCAGTTTAGGATTATTAAAATCTAGCTCATAGAAATAAAATTGATTTTTTATATTGATTTTGTATCCTACAACCTTGCCAAACTCATTTATTAGTTTTAACAGTTTATTGCTATTGCTTAGTGCTTCAGTAGGGTTTTCTAAATACAAGATCATGTCATCTACAAACAAACAATTTTTGTTTTTTTATTTGTTGTTTGTTTGTTTGTGGTGGTGAGGATTAACTCAGGGGTTCTCTACCAATAAATAACATTCTCAATCCTTTTTTATTTTTTATTTTGAGACTGATTGCTCTCTAAATTGCCCTGACTGGCCATGAATTTGTCCTGCCCCAGCCACCCAAGTCACTAGGATTACAATTTTAGTTCTTCATTTCCACTCTGAATGAAACTTATTTATTTATTGTTCTAATAGCCCTGGTAAAAAATTCCAGTGTGATGTTCAGTGGAAATGGTCAATACAGATTGTTTTAGTTAGCTTCTTCATGCTGTGATCAAAAAACATGACAAGAACAATTTGGGGAGGAAAAGTTTAATTTGAGATTCACAGTTTCAGAGGTCTCAGTCCATAGAAGACCGGCTCCATTCCTTTGGGCTCAAGGAGAGGCAGAACATCATGGCGGAATAGTGTGGCAGAGGAAAGCAGGTCAGGACATGGCCACCAAGAAGCAGAGAGAGAGAGCTCCACTCTTT